GATTTTAACATAATTTATATATACTTGGAAGGGAAGATCTGCCTGGGCCCAGTGTGAAATTAACTGGTCTTTAAGCAGTGAAAGCTCATAAGAGCTTAAGAAAAATGGATTAAACCATTCCCTTTCTGCCATCAAGACAGGACAGTGCTACAAGAACACATTCACAAGGGAAGTGCTTATTTCTGACTCTAAACAAGTAAGACTTTAAAAATCACACTTGACAAAAAGTAACTGCAAAACTAGATTAAGAGCTAAAATTTAGTAGTATTTTAGTAGGTAAACATGGGATAGAAATGACTTCATTATCATATCTTCATTATCTTAAAATATTTTGAACAAATTTTCTGCCATAAATTGAACACAAAGGCACTTAAATATATTGGACACAAAAGCATCTACAGAAAGTGTATTTCACAACTCAAAGAAGCAAGATTAAAATTTAACCACTGCAAAATTTCTTTTTGAACCCCCTACCCTACTAATTTATCTAGTAACTAAACACTCACAAGGCCTAATTTATTAAAAAAAAATTCAGAACTGTCCTACATCAGTTTAGCAGGAGGTTAAAAAGTAAATACAAAATATTCCTGTCTACACAGAGCTTCAAACAGCAGGTAGGAGAAGGTATACACATGCTAATGTTCACTGGCAGTGTGAGCAAGTCACAAAGTGGGGGAGGTAACGGGGAAGGGGGAGGGGGGTGGGAAAGGTGCTGAGGGGGTTCCCGTTTCCCAGGACTGTAAATGCATAAAACAACATCTGGAAAAAGGAGACTGAACTTGAATTTTCTGAATCACCTGAGGTTTAATGACATTAAACTAACTTGCAATTCACAAGGGAAAAAAATCAAAACCTTACATTTTATTACTGTTAAAGAAATAATAAATAAATCATATACTGCTCATAAACTTTACCTTTATGCAGTGCTTCATGATATAAAGGAAGATCGTGAAATCTTCCAACTCGAAGTGAATTCCAATGCAAAATGAATCAAGCAATTTTGTCTGAGAGTAAAAATGACCCTGTTCCGTGTTAACTTTAAACGCTCAAACAGCCCCAATTAGGTGCCCTAAAGTCTGAACAGCTTTAGTGCTGGTTCTCAACATTTCAGAAAGATGTTAATGAGGTCGGCTAGAGTACTACTTAAGTAGAAAGCTCTGGTGTAACTTAAATTTCACCTGCTCTTCATTATCAAGGATTTCCCCTCAAGCAGATCCCCGACTCCACCACTGCAATCACTCTCCAAAACCTTTATTTTGCAAGTTGCAGTCACACTCCTAGTTTTTACCGTGAAAAAAGCTACACGGCACTACATCTGTGGCATTCCTGATCCCCAGGAATCCTGGCCACATTCCAGACTCTATGTCTGTTGGACCCTAGATTTGAATTGTCATCTACATCAGTGAATCTCAAAAGTGAACCAGAACAGAGTAGCAAGCTTCTCTGCACTATAATGTTCCTCCCTCAAACTCTGTAATGAGGTTGCCCACATGAGAAACATAGAGATAAAAGACTATAACTATACAAAAGACTGGGGCTTCCCTGGTGGCGCAGTGGTTGAGAGTCCGCCTGCTGATGCAGGGGACACAGGTTCGTGCCCCGGTCCGGGAAGATCCCACATGCCGCGGAGCGGCTGGGCCCATGAGCTATGGCCGCTAAGCCTGCGCGTCCGGAACCTGTGCTCCGCAACGGGAGAGGCCACAACAGTGAGAGGTCCACGTACCTCAAAAAAATAAATAAATAAATAACAAGGGGACTATAATTTCAAAAAAAAAAAGACTGTAATTTATAAACTGATGCTTCCCCAAACCGTATCTGAGATGCCATCTTTTTCACAAGCTTTCAACCCATACTGCCAACTGCCTACCGGGAAGATCCATCTAGATACTACACTTAAGAGAGAAACATTACTTCATCTTCCTCCACCTCCACCCCTAATGGCAGATTGCTAATTGCTCCCTTAATATTCACTCTTCCTTTTGAGTGGGGCATATGGCTGAGCTAGATTTCCCAGCCACCTTGCAGCTGGGTATGGTCATGTGACTAAGTTCTAGCCAATGGAATATGCAGGGAACTGAAATGTAAAACTTCTAGGTTGGTCTGTAATGGAAAGTGGCTTGCCCCACTTTCCTCCCCCATGTTACTAGGCCTGATGATGTGGAAGCAAGGCAGTCCTGGACCATGAGTGGGAGAGTAACATCCTAACTCCCATCACAGCACCTGACACCACCAATCAACAGTGCTTAGGTCCATGGAAGACAGAGAGGATCAGACTAGACCCTACTTATAGGCAAACAAGATAAAGAATTCTCTCTTTTAAGCCACTGTTATTCTGGGTCTCTGTAATATTCGTCTGAACCTATAACCCAACTAAGACACTCCCAAGCTTATTTGCCTTCTGAGGTCAAGACTGGTGATTCCCAAACATGGCTGTATCCAAGAATCAACCTGAGATGCTTTTAATTTACGAGGGAGATGGGGAGAGCAGTGGAATCTGTACTTTTAAGCTCTCCACCTCCATCTCCAGGTGATTCTGATGAAAAGTCAGCAGGTCTGGAAGCTGTTAAGAGACACAAGGGAGATAACTTGTAATTGAGTTCCTTGGGCACAGTTTCAACTCCCAGGAGTCAGAATCCTAAGAAGTTTATCCAAGAGATGCCTTTTGAATCTGCTTTTTCCTTGTTTCTCTTCTCCAGCCCCACCAGAGTTTACATCCTTTTCACCATTACTCTGAGTTTCTCTGAGCCCCTACAGTTCCTTGGCTATCTCTCAGTGCAGCCCCAGAACTAAGTATTTTATGTTTAATTCCTCCCTAAAGTCAAGTCTAGCAGCTTTGCAGGTGGGTTAAAGATTGGCAAGGAGAGACTATAGCATCATCTGCCAAAAGATTAGATTAATTTCTTTATTCAAGGAGCTGAGGAATCAAAAACCTTATCATAAATGAGGTGGCCATACACAGCAGGCATATACCTCAGCAGAACTCCCCTTGGTCTTGAGCTCCTAGTGGGGAGGGGTGGGCTAGAGCTGCCAGTGACACCATCCGAGAAGGTAGGATATCCGCCCGGATTTGCATAACTCAATGTTTTGCCTCAGTATTGCCATTTTATAGTCCAGTTGAAGTGACCATTCAGGATGAATTTAACACAATCTGTCAATGCACTTCTATTTAAGAGACTATATGAAAACACCACGTTTTCCTAGTTGACCAAATTCAGCAACAAAAAGGCCACATACTCAGTGGGGGAAAGCAACATCCGTGCAATGTGTCCGGGTCATTACGTCTGCCTACACCTTCCGAGCTTCCCAGAGATCCAATTTCTACAATGTGTCCCATTCATCTGTATGTCCCCTCAATCAGACCTGGCACTCAAATGTTTGCTAAATCAATCAATCACTGCAAAAAACCAATTTGGTGTTCTCCTTGCCACCAGTATTCTCTTCCACTTCCAGAGTTTCTTTCCTCAGTCCTACTCTGTGCCGGAGCTGCTCACTGTGACACCCGTCACCCATGGCAACCGTCCTCTCAAGCCTTCCGGCACATTCCCCTTCCTCCAGCCCAGCAGGGCACCAGCTTCTCGTGGGCCTGCCACATCTCCATGATTCTGCACGTGTTCTTTCAGATTCTCCCCACAAACACTACAGCCTCCACTCCTTTACTTGATAAACTACTACTCATCCTTTAAGACTCAGAGCAAATGTTACCTCCTCCTGTGAGAAGTTTCCAAATTCTCAAGCAAAATCAGTTGCTCTCCACTGGGTGCCCGAAGCATTTTGCTCCTCTACTCATAAAACAAGTATTTACTCAATGCTTACACAGCCCTTGCCAAAAACAGTGAACCAAATGTAAAACATGAATCAGCAGAAACACCAATATAGCCTCATGGTTGATGTCCATTTTCGCGTAGTTGACTTTTCTTTGAAATAAAGGCAACTTTCTGAAATTACATCTCCGAATGCAAAAATAATTGCACCCAACGGATTGCCCTCTCATCAGGCCTTGGTGAGCGGAAAAGGTACTTGTGCTTTGGTTGGGTTCAAGGCCAGAACCCAGGTTCCCCAGTCGACTTTGAACCTCTCTGCATTCACATTGGCTCCTGAGAAGACCTGGGGCTGTAGTGAGGGAAAAACAGGAGAGCAATAGCTCCCATCACAGCACGTAAAACCACAAGATCCACGGTAGGGGGAGCAAGATACAAAGTGGCGAAAATAAAGAGCTGCCTCATTTACAACTTACGCAGGAATGCACAGAACTCAACTCAGCAACACGTTCAAACCAACACAGGGAAGCCAGAGAATCTATTCAGCCACCACTGAACACAGAAAGGAGAATTTACTAGGCAATACAGTGTGCCAGGTTCATGTAATTACCTGCTAATTTACTGATTCTCATTTTCTAGGGCTCAAGAAACCTTTCTTATTCTCCTTTATGCCTCCAGAACCTAGCAGAGTGGCAGCATTCCGTGTTTCTCGACCCGAAATGGTTTAACCTTTACAAAAACCCAACGGGGCGGCACCGTTCTCTCCGATTTCACACCACCTGGGAAATGAGGCTCTGACAGTGGATGCGCCCAAATTCATTATGTTGGAGCTGCGTTCGACACCCAGGACGGCGAACTCCACGGCACTTCTCTTGACTATCACCGCGGCCGGCCGAGAGCCCTCCGCCGGCCCCGCCTCCCCGCTTCGGGCGTCGGTCACCCGAGCGCCCGGCCGCGCTACCTGGAGCACGCAGTCCGACTGCAGCAGGCACGCGCCGAGGTCCTCCTTCAAGCCCGCGCACGCGCCGCCCTCCGGCTTGTCCTCGTAATAGCGGGGCATGACTGTGCCTTCCGCCAGCTGCTATCCAGACCCGCTCCACTCCGCGACGGCCCCGACTTGACAGGACGCCAGCGCCGCCGCGGCGGGCGGAACCGGAAGACGCAGCCACCACTTCCGGCGGGCGCGGGGCGGACCTTGGGGCCCGGGAGGCCGAGCGCGCGGCGGAAGTGGGTCACGTGACGCACCGCCCCGCGCCCCCAGCGCCGACGACGTTGTTGGGAGGGAAGTTGGCCCCGCGGCAGCTGGGCTCGGCAGCTGTGCGGCGGTGGCGGGTCAGTTTGGAGCCGGTGGAGGCCGCCGCGGGGCTCCAGGTGAGGCCTGCCGACCGCCCTGTCTGCGCGCGACTCGGGCTCACCCGGGGGCCGTTTCCAACGGCAACTCGCGGCCCCACGTCACCCGGCCCTGGAGTGACCGCGCCCGGGTTCGGGTGCTCGGCCTGCGGCGGGGCTGCCAGACACATTCAGTGGGGCTGGTTACAGTTGAATTTCAGATACCAGCGAAGAATGTTTTCGTATGCGTATGTCCCACGCAGTGTTTCGAACCTGCTGATATTAAAAATTACTCTTGTATCTGAGATTCAGTTGTAACTGGGCGTCCTGTGTTTTTATGCTAAATCTGGCCGCCCTACCCGAGGCCCCGGGCCGGCGGGGAGCCGTAGGGCCCGGGAAGCGCCGCCGGCGTCCCGGAGGAGGCCTGGGGAGTGGAGCCAGACACTGGGCTGCCGGGGCGGGGTGTGGGGGCCGGACGGTGACCGGCGCTCCCCTGGCTTCAGACTGGTTGGACCAGAACTCCCACGCTGTCGTTCCGCTGCTGAACTAGTCAGGAAGTAAAACACTGCATTTGAGTTCTGCTTTGTTTTTACATCACATAGTCATGAACGAGTTGCTTGCTGGTCATGCGCTGATGGACCTGTGAGATAGGCCATTTATTTTACCTCGTCGGGAACATCGTTTCAGTTTGGCTTCAGCAAAGGCTTTCTCTTAAGGTCTTGATGGTCGAGAGCCCACATGACAGGTGGAGTTTTGAGCCAGACTGCCTGAGTGCAAATTTTGGCTCCATCAGTATCACTGCTCCTGCCGGGGAGTGGGGGGGAAGGGGGAAGCTGAGGATTGAGGGAAGTGAAGTGTGGGGAAAATGTGGACCCTATGAAAATGTTCTTATGATGGTTCAGAAGGGCGTGGGGTAGCCCTTGCCTGAAGTGCAGTGATCATTTCTGCAGCCTCAGAACCAACTCCACTTGCTTTTGAGCCCTGACTCTACGCAGGGATTGGAGCCGACATGTAAGGTGACTTCTCTCATAACTCACAAGAGGGGTGCTAGTAGCTGACAGTTTCTTCGATGACTTGGAATAGAATTTTTTTTCTTCGTCCATCTAGGAAGATGTTACCGAGTACTTCAGTGAATTCCCCAGTGCAGGGGAACGGGGTATTGAGTTCCAGGGATGCGGCCAGACACACAGCTGGAGCAAAACGCTACAAATACCTGAGGAGGCTTTTTCGTTTCCGGCAGATGGACTTTGAGTTTGCTGCCTGGCAGATGCTCTACCTGTTCACTTCCCCACAGAGAGTTTATAGAAACTTTCATTACCGGAAGCAGACAAAGGATCAGTGGGCCAGAGATGACCCTGCTTTCTTGGTCCTGTTAAGTCTCTGGCTCTGTGGTAAGTGTCTGTCTGCAGGAGAGTTGAAGAATAAATGAGCATTTCAGGTTGGGCTTGTCATTTGGAGAATCTTTTGTTATCAGCATGTTGTGGGTCACAATTTGGGGATCTCTGCAGCTGTTTTCTTCCTCTCTGAAGCCTCAGAAATCTCCTCACAGGGAAGAAGGTGGTATTCTTCCTGATTTTAAAAGTCCCAAGCAGGTGCCAGAGTCAACTGTTTCCTCAGAACTTTCAAAAGCAGAGGACAGAGTCACTCCATGTCTTTTAACTACCATGACAAATAAATTGATACCCAAATGCAAACTTACTGTGAAAAAGGACTCCCGAGGTTGGAAATTGCATTTCACCATCAGGCCAGTCCAGAATGAGAGTTCTGAAAGTACCAATGTGAACTTGAGAAACTGCTTTTAGTTCAATAGTGCAGTGAAAGGGTCTGAGCCGTCTTTAGGGTGTGAGTGCTGCTGTGTTCTGAATGCTGGGGCTACCCTGGTGAACCACAGACGGATGGGGGCCTCCTCAGTAAACTTCAGATATCTCAGTGGTAGTTCTGTGTTCCAAGGTGGTCTGCATTTCTTAATCAATTACATTTAACACACCTTTGGGGTTTACGTACCTGTCTCCCACACTAGAGTGGGCATCTGAAAGGCAGAGACCATGCCCTGTACCCCTAGAATCTAGCAGAGTGCCTGAATACATCTTGTAAATCTTTCTTTCAGTGTCCACTATAGGATTTGGCTTTGTGCTGGACATGGGATTTTTTGAGACGATAAAGCTGCTCCTTTGGGTTGTATTCATAGACTGTGTAGGCGTCGGCCTTCTCATATCAACCTTAATGTGGTAAGTACGGTTAACTTTGGTTCTTCAGATGCTACTGTAGAGCCTCCATTTGCTTGCTTCAGAGAGTAGGTGATGGAAATTGAAACAAGATAGATGAACTGAAAGCATCGATTTTGGCTGCCAGGATTAATATACCTTGTCCTCCTGTGTTGGTACCTACATCAGAAAATACTCTAAGGGGATGGTCTGCTGTGTCAAAGCACAGCAAATAAGTGAATTGAAGTAATGATTGTGTCGTATTAACAAAAATTTTGATTTTGCAAAAATATTATGCAGTTAGCCAGTTCTGCTTAAGCTGTCTGGGTGACGGTACACTATTCTGCCTTTGCCAGTAGGTCACTTCCAGAGTTATAAGATGCAGAGGGTTATATTATGGAATCTTACTTTGCATCTTTGACATGAAATGAAGTACACCTGAAAAAGGATTGTTTTGGTTAAAATTTTGGTGTCTTTCTTCTGAGCCACACACGTGGGTCTTATTGACTGGGTTCTCAGTCTGACTTTGTCTGGGTTTGCTGTACCAACAGTAGTATACTGAGTATAAATCTGGTGTTTGGTTTTTCAGCCTTCTCCCTGATCAGTGCTCCTGTGGGGCTGGCGGAAGGGGTAGATGTGTGGGTGAGCTCAGCAGGGGGCCGGTGGTGGTGGTGGTCGTATGTCAGAGAAAACACTGGAACCTGAGTCACAGAGAGACCTGGGTTCAAATGCCAACTCAGTCATTTACTGTGCACTTCTTAGCTCCAGTCTTCTCTTTTGGAAGATGGAGTTGATTATCTATTTATGAGGTATTTGAAAAGATTGTGGTATGAAAAGCACTTGGCATATAGTCTGTGCTCAATAAATGGTAGCTGTTAACATTTTAAGCAAGATTCTGGGACGCTAACCTCTGATGATACCAACCTGTTATTTTGCTTTGTAATTTATGACTAGTCCAGTACAGGTCTTGTATGTGCTAGGTAGTTGGAAAATGCAATGCATCATTAACCTAAGATTCTAAAATCTGGCCTAAAAAGAATACTGCTAACCAACGTAAGTCACATATTCATTATCAAGATATCCAAGGGAAACATGCTAGGCGAAAAAATTTCAATAAATAAGGCTTTCAGACAAATAGTTTGTAGCCGGCATTCTGCCTTGAATGCATTGCGTTTCTGCGATCTGGAGGGTCACAGAAGCCGGGAGTTTAGTACCTTTAGTGTGAGTCTGTATCATAGTTTGAGTTCATTGGAGAAGGACTCAGTATATTTTTGAGAACCTACATTGTGCTGTGAATCGTGTGAAGAACCAGAAATAGAAATCATGCGTGACTCCAGTCACGCCAGGGGTGCCACAGAAGCCAGCATGAGGAGGCATTTGGGCAGATGCGGTAGCTGGTTCCTGGCACCAAGTGTGAAGGCAGAGAGGTGTGGAACAGCGTGCCAGGTATGGGAGCATGGGGGGCACTGCATGGCTGCGGAGGAGATGGGAATAGAGAAGTTGGCCCTAAATGCAATTTAGAGAAAAGAACTGGACTTCAGCTCATAGGCTGCATGTGGGAGTAGGAGGGAGGGGGAGCGGTGGGGAGCTTGGAGGCTTTGAAGTCAGAAATGCAATCCAGTTCACACTTCAGGAAAGATCCTCTCTATGGCAGTGGAGACGGAGGAGCTGGAGAGAGTGGCTAGGCTGGATACAGTCGTGGGGTCTGCACTGGAGCAGAGGAGGCCAGGGCTGCTGCGGTGTCACAGAAGTAGATGAGGGGAGGGAAGAGCAGGACCCGGGGCCTCTGGGATGACCTGGGAGTTTGGGGCTCAGCAGTCAGTGGCCGGTGCAAGTGAAGCATTCCATGTTGGACATGTTGAGTTCAGGAGGTTTGTTGATAGTGAAGTGAAGGTTCATTGGCCCCTGGGGTAGGTGACTAGGAAGCTGGAACAGTCTGGCCAAGATGAAGACATGGCTGGCATTATTAATATGGAGGTGGGAGAGGAGCACGACAGCTGTCTTTGAGCTCTCTCAGAAGGCGTGTCCATGTTCTAGGGGTGAGACTCGGAAGGAGGCCGGAAGCCTGGAAAGCAGCCATTCAGGGGCTAAGCAGAGAGGTAGGGGCAGTAGCAGGACCCCAGAGTGGGAACTTGAGTAGTGGGCTAGATGCTTATTCCATTCATTTGAATGGCACAGGTTCTCACCTCAAGTGGAAGGTGTTCTGGTGAGCTCGTTTGCTCTATCAGAGCACTATTGTTTTGCCGCTTTCAGGTAACTGAGTACAGGACTGCTTTATTAGTACTGTAACACCTTCTCCCTCTTGTTTCTTTCTTTTTTCTATTTTTATTTCCACTAGACATAGCATTTTCTTAACAGTATCCTCAAAATGAAATCACATGTGGAAGAGTCCATTGAATTTCCACAGCTGTGTCTTTATTGTTCTTTTCCTTTGACAATCTGTCTTTCTGTTACCTGGATGTCTGTCTTCTCGTTCGTTCGTCATTTAACGGAACGATTAGGCCACGCTGTGGAACAGAGACACCAGCTGAGTGATTGTTCCTGTGGCCGGAGACACCGTTGGCCCCTCTCTCCTTACTGGTTCCTCCTGACTCCCTGACCTTTCCACGGGGGAGACCCAGGTCCTAGGCCTTGGACCTGTTCTCTGCGTTCACTCTTTGGGTGATCACATTTGGGTTCGTGGCTTTTAATATCATCTACACACTGATGAGGTTATATCCGCAGTTTGGACCTCTCCTCTAAACTCTAGACCTTCTCTACCTCTTACTCCAGACTGACAGGCATCCCCACCTCGCACCTCAGTCTTCCGTTTGTTTAAGGCCAGAATCTCTCAGTCGTCCTTGACTGATCTTTTTTTTTTTGTACCCTAGCACTCAAGTCTAGCACTAGTCTATCTAGTACATCTAGTCCTATTGGCTCTGCCTTCCAGCGGTAATATATCCCCATGTCAGCACCTCCGCTGCTGCCACCCTGTTCATCTCCTGCTTGCAGCAGCCTCCCATCTGCCTCTCTGCTTCCACTCTTGTCCCCAGAGTCTGTTCTCAGACCGGCAGCCAGAGGAACCCTGTCAGTACAGTAAGTCGGACGTTCTTAGAACTCCACAGTGACTTCTTATTCCACCAAGAGTAAAAGCCCAAAGGTCTGACAGTGGCCACAGGCTCTATAAGGTCCGGCTCCCGTTTGTTTTCGGATTCCATTTCCTGTGTATCTTCTCACTTGTCCCAGGCACTCTGCGCCCCTCCCGCACTCCTCAAGCCTGCTGGGCCCTCTGCCACCTCCCTGTACCCCCCCCCCACCTCTGTGCTTGGACTCCCCTCCGCCTGGAATGCTCTGCCCCGGGGGATTCCCATCACTGCCCTTGGGACTTTACCCAGATGTCACTCTCTCATGACCATCATCATATGTAACATTTCAACTTTGTATTCTCTGTCTTTCTGTACTGCTCTGTTTTTCTCCATGGGACCATCTGACAGCTATTTGTATTGTTGTCAGACTACTCCCCCGAGATTGAAGGCAGAAATTTGTTTGGTTTACCGCTGTATCTCCAAATGTCCGGAATAAAGCTTGGGACATAGAAGGTAGTCGGTAAATATTCATAATTAATTTTATTGTACTATGAAATAAATGTTAACTTTTCAGGTTTATCTCTAACAAGTATTTAGTGAAACGGCAGAGCAGAGACTATGATGTGGAGTGGGGCTATGCCTTCGATGTGCATCTGAACGCTTTTTACCCTCTCCTCGTCATTCTGCATTTTATCCAGCTTTTTTTCATCAACCGTAAGTAGCAGTTACTTCTCAACACATTATCAAAAAGTCTTCATTGTACCCACTGAAAAGAGATTCATTGTATGCGTCTCTTCCGCAGATGTCATCCTAACGGACACATTTATTGGATATTTAGTTGGAAATACCTTATGGTTGGTTGCAGTTGGCTACTACATCTACGTAACTTTCCTAGGATACAGTGGTAAGTAATTGCGTTTTTTGGTTGATTGACAACACAACAGGGAGGGGAAAAGTTGCAGCAGTAATTCAATTAGCTTACTTTCATGGAGCTCTTACAGGCACTGTCCCAGGTGTTTTAGGAATTCTCCCATTTAATCTTTACAGATACATGGTACAGCTTTACTTGTCCCCATTTTTCAAATGAGGAAACAGGCACAGAGAGATTAAGTAACTTACCCATGGTCACGCAGCTAGCAGGTGGCATAGCTGGTATATAACAAATTTTATAATTTCAAGGAACCATGTTAAACCATATTGATGCTGTCCAAGTTACTGGCAGGAAACCCACTCAGTTTCCTCTTCCTTTTCTCCGAGGCTTTTGGGTTCTGGGTTACCGGCAGTCAGAGTGAGGAAAGGGTTGGGTCCAAGGTGTGAGCACGTTTAAAACCTTTGCCTCATTTTCTGTTTTATGATTGTGGGCTGGGGGAGCTTTGAAATACTCTTTATTTTGTAAACATCTGTGTTTAAAATAGATGAACCCTGCTCACAATTCATATACTGTACCCAAGCCACAGTACACAAAGTTCACCTGTCAACAGGGAGATCGTGGGGCTCAGGAGCAGGGGAGCGCCCAGGGGTGCAGAGGTGGTTACGCGTCAACGGCAGCAGTGCCTGCTCAGCAGTCTGGGCCTAAGGCCAGGTGCCAGGCCACCTGCTGGACTGGGGAAGCTTAGGGATGAGAGGTTCTGTAGATAATCGCAGAAGATCGGGCCCAGCTTCTGCTGAGCTCAGGACGTTTGTGAATTCATTGTTACATCCTGCTGTCGATTCATTTTTCATAGTATGAATGAGAACCATATTGACATTATTCTTCATGTATGTTAAGAAACAATCACTACTAAATAGAGTTAGATTAAATCTAGAGACCTTACTTATGATTTGTTAGCATTATATTCTTAGCCCTTCCTTTCTTGTCACTCTAGATGATCAGGCTCTTACTGTAAAAACAAGCCACTTGAACTCACATGTGACTGGCTCCAATGGTGAGAGCTTCCCACGCTCGTCCCCTTGGCTTTGCCAGGAACCACTGAAACGCCCCTGCCACCCACATTGTAATACCTTGTTTGGGGCATTGGGAGTCCTTTCTCTAGTTCAGGGGAAATGTTTGTGACATGTTATATTTAGGCTTCTAATGAATTTTCACGTTTTGAGAAAGTTTTAAAATGTCATTAGCACACTGCCACGTTATGGTTTCTCAAAGTGGATTTTGCATCACTCTCCTGGTAACTCCCTGTGATTTAGAAGATTCTTTGAGCACAGCTCAGTTTCAGTTTGAGGACTACTTGTATGAGAAATATTTAGGTTAGAATGCATGGGGTAGGGACCCACTAACCAAGCCATGAGCAAGAAACAAACACGGATATCTGAGGGTGGATTTTATATGTGAGAGTTTCAGTTCTTTCCTAAAGTCTGGGATACTAGTTGAGATCTCACCTTCTCAAAGTGGACGTGTAATGCTTTCCCCCCGTTGGGAAATCGCAAACAGCTGAGAGTTGGGTTTTTTCCTATAACATCATCCATCTCTGTTGGTACGTTAGGATGGGAGGCTTCTGAAGCATCACAGGTTTCAATTCACCACTGTGTCCATTAATATTGGTGATGTTTGACCCTCACTCTTAACCTCAGTCCTGGATTTGCTTCTCATTCAGCCTCTGTGCTGAGAAACCTCTGCTCGGTTTCTTCACAGCCATGAATGAGAAGGAAATAACACACAGGAGTAGTAATATTGCTCTGGCTGCAATATAGCATCGTCAGTAAGATGCTTCAGTAAGATTCACAGTACGCGTTGCCTGCTCGGCCCGTCGTGCTGTGGGGGAAGCCGTCTTCCAGAACGCTCATTTACTAGTCCTTTACTTTTCCCACCAACGCATGTGGGTTTGCTCCTTTTCCAGCACTGCCGTTTCTGAAAAACACAGTGATTCTTCTTTACCCGTTTGCACCTCTCATCCTGCTCTACGGACTGTCACTAGCGCTGGGCTGGAACTTCACCCACACACTGTGCTCCTTCTACAAGTACAGAGTGAAGTGAAACAGGGAGCCTCTTACATCTTAGGTGCGTCAACAGTATTGGTGAGGTGATTTCTTGTGAAACTTGTAAATAAACTATCATTGTAGATATCTTAAAGATGTAAAGTTTGCAAATTTGAAGAAATATATATGCTAACACCGTTATCTAGTACGTTCCTTAAAACTAATTAAATGTACGTTTCTATAATAAATATTTTTTAAACTAAAGCATGTATTTTATTCTGCACAGAGAATATATGCAAAGTACTAAGGGCATGCGGAAAAGAGAAAGGTAAAACTTTTTAATATGAATTATTTTTGAAAGTATCCATTTGGAGAACATGGTAATGTTTCCCCTTCTCCCCTCCCCCACTGTTACTGACAAGGTACAAAGTCCAGCCCCATTTCTAATGGGCTGCATTTTAAACTTTTATATAAGTCACAGGATCCTAGTGTAACCTTCAAAAGCCTCTACTTGTAATTCAAATAGGAATCACTGTACTACAGGCTCCAAATATCATTAACAGCCATTGTTCATGCAAAAAAAAAAAAAAAAAATTACCCAACAAACAAAATACAGTAGATCGAAGAGGTCCCCGGAGGCTACTCTTACTCCAGGGACTGTATAGTAGCATACTCAGGGTCTGAGTGAACACCTGCATGACACTGATAATCACAGTCTTAACACCAGTCTGCTTTTCTTTTTTAAAAGACTTTCCAAAACCCACATATCAAATCCACGCCTGTTTTCTAACTGAAAACAGTACCAGTAAACTATTATTATATCAGTGTTAAGCAAAACTAATAATAAAAAAAGCTTGGTACCCATGAAGTTTTTACCTGTTTATTTATATTAGGAGTCTTGAATTCAACATGGCTTTTTAAACTTCTTTATCTCAAATACACATGAACGGTTGTGGCACAGAGAAACAGTGATGAAAGGCACAGTCAACAGGACTAGTTATCAGGTTTTCAGTTATAGCAGCAAATTTGAAAATAAATAATCTGCCTTTAAAAATCCAACAGGTACCTAAAATATTACTACAGAGATTACCCATTCAACCAATGGAGACATTGTAAGGAAAATATGTACAATACATTTACGGAGAAAAAACATCTGGTTCAACATGGTAAAGCAGTTCCTCAGGCAGCTTCTCCCAGGGGTGCTTCCAGAAACACCCCAATTACAAAGACAACCTTTCCAAACAAAGTTTGTTCTCAAGGAGAAATGCTTCCGTTTTTCATTCCATAAATGAAACAGTTGTTACAGTTTAATCAGCTGATTTCTAAGTCTGTCTTAGAAAATGCGACTGTCCACACTGGAGTGGAAAGTGTCAACTGTGCTGGCAGTGCACCTTACAGTACTGTCGACATCCACCATTCTTAAGGCTCAGAGACTATGTCTTCAAAAGGTATTTTCACCCAATTTCAGCCAACACTGAGTATTTCAAATAAATAATGGAATGCTAATCAAACTAAAATACCAAACCTTTGATTCCAGGGCAGTTTGCTAATTACTAACACCATGAAGCTACTAGGAGCAAGTGACACATTAAACAGCTTCCCTAGTGTCCAAGAGTACTGAATGTTCCCCACAACACACAATCCTTAGTTTAGAACAATTTTAGCACCACCCTTCCTAACATTTTTCCGCACAAAGTGTTTCCCATTCAACATTCAGTTCACGTTTTTGAACGACATCTAAATTCTCAACTCACACATAACTGGAGTGCCAGCTCTTTCTTGTTTGTTCCTCTGGAAATGCTGTAGCTAGTGCCCAAACAGGTGAAGCACGTGTTTCAGGTAAGAAGAGAAGAGTTTCTGTATAAGCATTGATGATATGGGTATGTCTATATGTATAAACAAATCTTTTGTTGTGGTTTTTCAGTAATACTGTAGTAGTGGCCTCTTGAGCACTGTAGGTTCACATGCATTGAAGAGAAGTAAGCATGTTAGTTATCATGGCAGATATCTGTTAGGAGTAATAATTTACAACTATCAAACTAAATTTCATACACTATAAACACTGCTACATAGCTTTGAAAAGTCTCCTTTTCTTTAAAGAGATCAGATGTCAAAGTTCTCTTAGGACCTCAGATATGATTATGACTCAAATTTCTGACCTTTCAATAATGTTAGCCTCTCATTTTCTTTCTTTTAGCTCAACTTTTCTTACATCAAGGCTATAGCAATATAGTAAAAGAAGCACAAAAAGTAGTGGACAAACTAAAATTAAACTTCATTAGCAATTAATGGCTTGGAAGCAGAGAAGCATTTTGAAAAGTATTCCCTAAGTACAAAAATTTGGTCAGCACGTATAGGATTTGATCTGTGCTTAGACTATAAATTTTGGTTAAAAAAAAAAAAAAGTCCTTCAATACAGAGTAGATTATTTGGTCTCTACATAAAAGCATAAATATTTTTTTTCTCTTAATGTCTTAAAATATCACTGTTCCTCATTCTTAAATAACTGACAGGCTCAGAGCAGGCTAAATCAACATAAAGTGACACCTATTCCAGGAAGAAGATTCCTTACTCACTGGATCCTGCTCCTGCAATCTCATGCTAGCGGTTCCTTCATGAAACGCTACAAAGGTGCTGCAAGTTTTTGCCAACAACCTGCCAAAGAGGATTAACTGAGGTCTCTGGGAGAGAATCCCAGATGAGGCCTGTGTATATGATCTGCTAGTGCAAGACTTTATTCAATAAGTTTATCAAGAAATACCCAACATACCAGAGGGAATCAAGTAGGAAGCCTTCTCCGCTTCACCTCTTTTAAATATCGTGTTCATTTTCTATTGCTGCATAAAATCACGGCAAATTTAAAAGCGTAAAACAACACCCATTTATTATCTCACAGCTCTGTAGGCCAGAAGTCCAGGCAGGCAGGACTGAGCTCTCTGCTTAGAGATTCACATGGCTGAAATCCGGTGTTGGTGGGGCTGAGCTCTTAGCTGCTGGAGGAGAGTCCACCTGCACACTCCTTCCGGTTGGTGGCTGAGTTCAGTTCCTGTGGCTGCAGGACTGCAGTTTCCATTCTCTTGGCTGTCAGCTGGGGCCTCTCAGCTTAAGACCATCTGCATTCCTTCTCATGCGGCCGCCTCCATCTTAAACCAGCCATGGTGCCGCAAGTCCTGCTTTGAATCTGACTTCTGCTGACAGCCTGAGAAAACTCTGCTTTTAAAGCGCTCACCTGATTAGATTAGCTGTCCCCAGATAATCTCCTTTTTGCTGTACAACGTAATTATGGATCATACTCACAGGTTCCACACACACTCAAAGGGTTAGGATATACAAAGTCATTGGGCAGGGGGGTCATCCATGGAATTCTGGCTGCTACAAACATTCACTGCTATTAATTAGAGCAATCTCTCCAAACATGCTGTTTCCATATAACCACACTTGTCTTTGAGGACAGCACTGTTGGAAGACAACTTTTTTCATTATTATGACATATTTAAAAAGAAGCCTCCATAGCGTTGCTGAAGTTTTTAAAATAACACCTTCTAATTATTTACTAATGCAATTGACTTAAAAAGCTTGTTCAAAGACATCTCCAGCAGCCGAATTAACCTTCACGTACATGTCTAGAGGCTGTGTGCTAAATCCATGTGCATTCACATTTCCCAAAGCTTGTCAATCACACAAGTTTTGGAACCTCATCCTCAAGTTGTCACTCTTTTGGGACTACATAGTAGGGACAGTGAATGCTGTAAAGAACGCAGGAGACTTAAAGAACTTAGAATCCTGGAATTAGGTCCTCAACCTTCTCATCTCACCCGAAATACTCGTCATCGTTTGCACTACGATATATTCTGCATGTCTGCTTTTAGCCTCACGATGGGAATTCATTATTCTGGATTCTAAAATGTTCATGTTAGCACTCTTGACACACAGCTGTGCTACAGAATTTTCCGTGATGATGGAGATGTTCTGTATCTGTGCTGTTTAACCCAGTGGCCACTAGCCATAGGGAGCCAGTGTGACTGAGGAGCTGAATGTTTTATTAATTTAAACTCAAATAGCCGCCCTGTGTCCAGTAGCTACTGTGGAGGACAGTGCAGCTCCAGAGACATCACGCCATATACATACGTAAAAATAAAATTAGTCCCGCCATTTGTACTTTTCCCCACTCACTCTGGGTAAAAGTGGTTCAGTGTCCACTCAAGGTCAAGTATGTACCTTCTCTCGTTCCAGGTCCCCTCATCTTCTGTCCCAATACTTTAGCCCCTAACATGACTCTTAAGGGCAACCACTATAATCGCTTGCTTGAGGCAAGCCTGGGTGCTTCTAATTGTCTAGTGGCAACTGGGGGAAAGGAGAGCGCAGCTAACACGAGGGTCCGTGAGCACCTGTGCAGCAGAGGAAGCTAGGAAGCATGACTTACAGGCTTGCCTGCAGGAGCTTGACATTTGGCCAGAGTGATTACGTGTATGTGCACACACACTCGCCACAAACAAAGTAGACAGCTGAGTGTGTGTGTGAGTGTGTGGCAAGGACAGTAGGTAAAGAGAGTTAAGAAAAAGAAAGAGGAGTGTGGGCTGGAACAGTTGGTCCCCTTCCCCAGACGCTGCCTGGGCACCTGCCACGTGTCAGGCACTGTTCTGGGCTCAACGAGGCGCTGGTAACAAATCCATGGGGAGGAAGGAGTGCACAGGAGAGTCCTTGGAAGATGGATAAGATTTGGATGAAAGTCTTCTCAGGAACTGGAGGGATGAGCTAAGCCTGGGAGGGGAGACTGAGCACAAAAACAGGACCAAGCTGGCTGGGTAAGTAAGGCTCAGTCTCAAGACTGAGACACCCAATGGCCAGGAGCTGCAATTACTGTCACCTCCCTAGACTCTCAGAGCGTGGCCTTTCTTCCTCAAATCAGAGTTAGCTACTTGGGAAGCAGGGAAACAAGGGGATTCCTCCAGATTTTTACCTCCTGATACTTATTTGTTACAGCAGTAATTTAGTATGTGAAGCTGGTGCCACAATTTTGTAATGAAAGGTTTATGCTTTTGCAGTGACATTTCCCTGTTAGGCGCTGGGCCAAGGAGATTTGGGAAGGAAATAAAACGTAAGTTAAAATAAAAAGTAAAATTTAAAAACCTCAATAAAAATTTTTAACTGGACTCGGACATAAAGAAATCATTGTTGGCAACATGTAACTTTTTAATCAAGAGACGTAACTAAGAATTATTCAAATACAGAGTAATGGAAATAATTGTACCCTATCAGTGTTTCCCAACCTTTTTCACTGCATAACCCTGCACAGAAAACAAGGCTGTCTGGAAGCTGTTTGTTCAGCCTGCTGGGTAACCAGGTGACGCTCCTCCAGGCTAAAGGCAACCAGCTAGAACCTCCAGCTGCCAGAGGCCTCAGCCACTGGGTGCTCTGAAAGCTCAAGAGATTCAAGCTCTGCACACCTGTAACCGCCTGCAACCCACCTGAGGACACCAGGCTGGTTGGGAACTGATGTTGATAATTCATAATTTTGTAAAAGTAAAAGACTTTTGTAAAGATCACCGATTGCTAGGGCTGATAATATTTTTGTTTATAGTAGTGATATCATGTGGA